TGAGATGCTAATAGTTGTATCCTTTATTGGGAACTATGATTTATTTTTTCATTTTCTTATATTACTTGCTATTATTAGCTATTCTTGGGGTTATTGAGTTGTCCAAATTCAGAAAAATGTATATGTATATGCATTTGGTCGAGGCTTTTGTGTTGTGACAGGAAAAATTATCAATAAACGGAGAAGACTATATCAAAATATTTTTTTTCTAAAAGTCCGTTCATTTTGCTTTGTCATTCAAATAGCAGCCATGCTTGGATGAAATGATATTCTTCTCATTTTGGGTGTTGTATTGTTGGTCATGATATATAGAGGTTCGTTAGATAACTTATTTGTTAAGAAATCATTGATCCTCACTTTCCTTGACAAGTGAATGATTTACATAATTAAGTGAATTATTTTGCGTATGTTTTAGTGTCTTTTGTAACGTTTTATAGTTTTTTTAACTAGGGTTTACATATATGCATGAACGTGAGGTTTGTTATTACATGTAAACTTTAGCAGATTAGTTGGAATTTTCCATGCATTTTAGGTACTTGAAACATATGTATCATTAAATAGAAGAATTGATGATAATTTACATTGATCATAGAATGCAAGTGCATGGAATCAAGTCAAATTGCATAAAAAGTGGATGGACAAGTAAAAGAAACTAAGAATGAAGTCAGGACCGACTCCAAATAAACATGGCTGGCTTCAAATTGAACACTACTGGTTGCAAGACTAGTTGAGATGAAGATGGAGCAGAAACTAAGGATTCAAGGCCGGTTAGAAGCCAATACCGCCAGTTCAAATTAGACCATTGCCGGTTCTATGGTCGGCTAAGATGTCAGTTAGAGCTGTTAAACGAGCCGAGTCGAGCTCGAGCATAGGACAATCGAGCTCGACTCGAACCTCTAATCGAGCTAGCTCGAGCTCGCTCGATTAGTAATTCGAGCTTCACAAGGCGTTCGAGATCGACTCGATATACTGGTAGAAAACTCGAGTTCGGGCTAGAACTCGAGTTTGAAATCAAGCCGAGCTCGCGAAAAACTCGAGCCGAGTTTTTCAAGCTCGAAGCTCGAGCTCGAGCTCGTTTACGGGAGACAACATATCAGGTCCTGGCACACTCATATTTAGCCTGACAAAAGAAGATAAACATTCCCTGATTTATCATCTTCAATTCGTCAAGCCATGCCAAATGACAATATAAGGCAGAATCTAATACTTCAGCAAGCTCGAATATAAAAAGCCAGAACCTAATAATTATGGAGTTAAAAAGAAGTTAAAACTACAGCAATAACCATCAAATGGAGAAACAAAATGTCCAAACTCGGATTACAATGTCCAAACCAGATCAGATTACAACATATCAGTGACCAAAATGTCCAAAACAGATCAGATAACAACATTTCCAAAGGACCAACTCCTCCATCTCCATCTACTTGCTGTCCTCCTTCATTACCATCATCTTCTATCATTTCTATCTCTTCTTCACTCATCTCATCGGCTCTTTCTTCATTGTAGTTCAATTGTTCCACGTCTTCAATATTTTGCTCCATCACAAGACTTGATGATGAACCTTGAAATGAGTTGAGTGGAGAGCTGTACATTCCTTAATCAAAACACATTTAATAACCAATACAAATTTTGATTAGCCAAAACAGAAATTTAGAATAACATTTCTAAGAAATAAGATACAAAAGTAATAAAACAGATTCCAAGAAATAATGCCCACTTCAAGCCAATTTTAACATTTCTTTAACTTGTTCCTATCTCCTATCTCAATTCTCAAGCTTACATTCAGATGAATGAAATAACAGAGAAAAGCTCTTAAAAACTCTTAAAATGGCAATCCAAACAAGGGACAGTGATGAATTACGGGGAAATACTGAATCCATAGTTCCAATTTGTTTGTGCATGCAGACAGTGATGAAAGGACAGTATAGTGGCATTTCCAATAAATTAAATACGAATAGTGTCATCTGAAGATAGTACACAATTCACATGCGCTCTAGTGGTCTGACTGTAGCCAACCATCTCGAATGAAACTCAACCAGATCATCAGAAATCGAAAAGCAAAGCAGTTTATTACTAAACTAAGGAAACAGGAAAAACAAAAGATGAGCATGGGCAATGAAAGTGGAAGCTAAAGTTGGAATCTCTTTTGATACAAAAGTATAACATACTGATGTGACATGAAGAGATGAGAACTCTTTAAAATCAAAATTTTCATGATTTGGTGCATAACAAGTCCTGGCTTAATGGATGGCTTTGAATATATGAATCAATTTAAAGATGGCAGCTTTCCTAAGTGCTTTGCCAAGGAAAAACATAGTGGGAATTGACTTTGAATGCAAACAACTAACGTTAAGATGCAATTGTCAACTTAATCTGCTATTGAAGTAATATATATGCATGTACTACCTACATGTGTAAGCAGATTTTTGCTAATTACTAACTTCAAATTACGTAAATTAATTGCTATTTAGTAAGCAAAAGTGCATCTATCTTGCTAACTGCCTAGAAATATCCTGCAAATACCTCAGATGACATTTAATGATCACAAGGGATCAATTACGTACCATGGTTTTTAAACATAGGAAATAATCTGCCTGATTTATTTTCAGAGAAACAAATATTTACCATAATTCATTTTTCAAATTGAAATGGGAAGTCAGTCTACTTCTTTTGATTGGAAAGCATACATAGAAGGTAGTGTACGTGAATGGTTGGTTGCTCAAAATTGATAACAAAAGCACTTATTACATACTCAACCACCTTTCTAATTCATTGATTTTTTTTTGTTGGGTATATGGAGCCATATATAGATCCTAAATTCATTTAATTCCCGCAGGTTAGCTCAGAGCTGTATGGGGACAACTATCCAAGATTTTTTACATATTGGACAGTAAGTGTCTAAGTGGCAGTGGCATTAATTATTGCCATTCATTCATCTTCTTTAAGGAACTTATGATTAATCGTAATTAACTTGACCAAATTCATCAAGCTAATTCAATGAATGATGTACAGAGCGATGCATATCAAGCCATAGGTTGTTATAATTTGCTATGCTCAGGCTTTGTCCAGACCAATAATCGAATAGCAATCGGAGCTGCAATTTCTCCCACGTCTTCATATAATGGTCCCAGTATATGTATATATATATATTATATATATATATATATATATATACTACTAAATTTGCTAGCTAATTGAAAAGAAAAGAAAAAAAAAGAAGTGATTAAAAAAGGAATTAAGTAGACGGAAATCAGAGGAACTGGTATCAATTAAACACACATCTCTTACCACAAAAAGAAAAACTAATTAAACATACTTGTTGGTATCTTTTGAAAAGAAGACGATTTGGATATGCCAACCTATGATCAAGAAATTGCAAAAATTGAGAAGAAATGGTTACCAGAATGCAGCGAATCGGGATATGGTAGAGGCCCCTGGCTCTACCGAGGTGGCTCCGTATGGCTGCGGCTGCGGGTGTGGAACGGGAAAAAAGTTGGCAGAAAAAGGAAAGAAAATTCAGGATAGCGCCTGGCGGTGAGAATGGAGGGTGCAGGCGTGCGATTGCGGCTGCCGGATGCGGCGTGAGAATGGTGGCTGCGGGGTGAGAATGGAGGCTGCTGGGTGAGGCGTGAGAATGGAGGCTGCGGGGTGCGGCTGGAGGGTGACGGCTGTGGGACGGGAAAATGTAAGACCAAAAGAGGAAAGAAAATTAGGTCTACAGACGGAGACGGGAGATGACTTACGTTAGAGTACCACATATACATTGAAATAACGAAAATGCCCCTACCCTTCGAGCCTAACGAGCTTAAACGAGCCGAGCATAGCTCGGCTCGTGTATTAAACAAGTACTGAGTAGAGCTCGAGCTCGGATCGTTTGTCTCTCTTAACGAGCCGAGCCAAACTCTTATCGAGCCGGGTCGAGCTCGGCTCACGAGCTGTCCGGTTCGATTAACAGCTCTAATGTCAGTCTAAACAAGACTTGATTTTTCTAGAGTTTCTTGAGCATGAAGAATCTACCTTTTGGCCGCCTCCAACCTTCTTATAAATATGTGATGATCCAAAACTTGGAGGGCATAATTGGAGAAAAGAAAAAGAGAGGCAATCCTAGTTCTTCTTCTAGCAAACCCTAGCCAATTTCTCTTGCTTTCAAGAAGGTTGAGAAAGATACAAGGAGACAATAACTTGATGGTTGATTGAAGATTTGATGGAAGGATGTTCATGACTAGGGGTGTCAACGAATCGAATCGAGCTCGAATACTAGTTTGATCGAGTTCGAGTTCGACAAAGTGCTTAAGGCTCGAGATCGAGCTCGAGATCGACGAATATTAATTTTACATGCTTGAATTCGATTCGTAAGGAATTCGTGAGGATCGAGTTCGTGTTCGAAATTGCTCGAGCGGTCGAGCTTGAGCTCGAGCGATCGAGCTCGAATTCGAAATTGCTCGAATCGTGATCGAGCTCGAGCTCGAACTCGAGCATCCGAGCTCGAGCTCGAGCTCGAAGGTCCATTAAAAAGGCAGTTAACATCTCTTGATACTCCACTAAGGTTCAGTTATTTAGCCCAAAAAAGGCCACGAAATCAAGAAAGAAAATAAAACCCCTACAATGGTATGGTTTGTACATAACAAGGTGCTATTTTAAGCAAGATACAAAGGAGGCAACTATGGGGGGATCCCAGGATACACAAGTTTGCCAGTGAAATGAACGCTAGCAATATCTTTTTTGGCCTTGACATTTGTTACATGTTAAGGCTAAAATCATACATCTAATGCCTGGACACAGAACACAAATAAGTAAGTCTGCAATATCCTTAAGCAGAATTTGTCCTTCATTCATACATAATTCCAAGTTGTCAAACTTGTCAAACTATCAAAAAATTTAGCAGCCTAATGCCAAGTTGTCAACCAATATCCAAATTCATCCATACATATTTTAACATCAAAACCAGCATCCAAATTCAAAGATAAGTTAGCCAACCAACATCCACCAAGTCACACAAATAGAAACAACAAAGACAAAGTGTCAACAACTCAACATTCAAGTGAATGTCTTCAACAGGCAATGTCAATTGTCAAGAAATAACCATACTTAAAAAAGTGAAACAAATTTTACAATTAAAGCAGTAAAACAACAACTTCTTGTCCATTCCACAATAATCCTTTCCAACTTTCCAATTTCAACTGCAGGCCCTATCAAAAAAAATAATTTAAGTAATAAAATAGTAGTTGTAAAATGTAAAACAAGATATTTGAAGAGGAATCGAAGTGTTAAACACAAACAATGTACCTTTCCAATTATCACATTCATTTTATGGGAAGTAGAATCTCTTTTGCTGCCTTCAATTTCTGCAAAATAATAATAACAGTAACAATAACAATAAATAATAAACTAATTTTGTTTCAATAACATGAATTTGAAATAAACTTACTTTTATCTTTTTTTTCACTCCATGAATGTTTCGGCACCAATCTCCGGCACACATAAGCATTTCTACAGTTTCAGGAGCTAGTGAGGCTCTATAAGAGTCAATTACTCTTGTTCCAGCGCTAAATGTAGCCTCAGAAGCAACTGTAGTAATAGGAATGGCAAGGATATCGGCTGCCATCTTGGATAAAATTGGGAATGTGAGCTTGCTATTCTTCCACCAATTCAAACAATCAAATTCATGTCGCGGCATACTTGAATCAATCTTGATTGGACCATTTTCCAAATATATGAGTAATTCAAATTCTTGAGGCGCTCCAGTTTGATATTCCCTCACATACTCATCAAAATCATCCCAACCCGAACCAGAAGCACTGCTTTCAGAAACACTACTTGAAGAAACCTGAGAATCCTTTTTATTTCCACTCTCACGAAGTTCATTTGCTTGCAAATATTCATTGTATAATTCAAAGACAGCATTTCTAACCTTTTCAATATTTTGCTGAGCTTCACTAGGGGAAAAAAGTTTAGGAAAGCAATATTCTATAGCAGTCATTTTCTGTCGGGGATCTAAGACAGCAGCCACAGCCATTAATAGATTACATTCTCCCCAATACTTATCAAATTTGAATTTCATCTTTCTCACCATTGCTCTTACGAAATCATCATCATCATTAGCCTTACTATCCAAAACTAGCTTTATTCTCTTAACTTCTTGAAGAAACAAATTTGAAGTTGGATAGTCGCTACCTGAGATGATGTTCGTAGTTGCCCAAAATGTCTCTAAAATGCTGCATACTTTTTCAACTTTCTCCCAATCTTCTTCGGATGGACAGCAATAATATTGTACATCTCGTTCTCGATACATTGGAAAAACCTCTTTGAATTTGATTGCACAGTTCAACATCTCGAATGTAGAGTTCCACCGTGTCCTACAATCATGAATAAGCTTTCTTCCGGGGAGTCGAAGCTGCTGCACAATTTCTGAAAATAAAATTTGTCGACTTTCTCTTCGGCCTACAAAGTCAACACTGTCACGAATATTTTCTACTATGTCTACAATCTCCCCGAGACCATCTTGCACCATCAAATTCAGCACATGAGCACAGCATCGAACATGAAAAATTTTGCCACCACAAGCTAAGGGGTTACACCTCGAAAACGTATCCTTTAGTAACCGGACAGCCACATCATTAGCTGAGGCATTGTCGACCGAAATTGTAAAAATTTTGGTCTCGATGCCCCACTCTTTGACACATTTGAATAGAGCGTCCGAAATGTCAATACCTCTTCGAGGTGGAGGAAGATTGATAAAGTTCAAGACTCTTTTTTGTAGCTTCAAAGAACAATCAATCCAGTGCCCTGTGATCACCATATACTCGATTTTCTGGTTCTTGGACTTCCACAAATCAGTGGTTAAACTTATTTTCTCAACATCCTTCAACTGATTTTTCAATATCTTTTTCTCAGTTTCATAAATCTTCACACAATCAGCTCTACAAGTATTACGAGTAAATTTTTTCCACTCCGGCATTCCTAGTTTCTGCATGTAGTTGAATCCCTCTTCCTCTACAACGCTAAATGGGTGTTCGTGCATCAACACCCATTTAGCAGCTGCCTCCCTCATCACCTCCATCTCAAACTTCCCAGAATATAGTGGAGGAATAGGAAATATAGCTGCATCAGCCGGTGGAAAATTGAGCACTGATTGTTGAGAAGCTTGTGATAATTGTCTTAAATGAATCTTTCTCTTCACACAAGAGTTGCTATGTCTTATCATACTGGAAGTGGTCCCCGTTGCAGTCCGGGCTAATTTAGTTAGGCAGTGAATACATTCTGCCTTTCTTTTTCCTTTTACTACAACCTCTCGAAAGTCATCCCAAGCTTTAGACTTTTTTGCTCTTTTGCCTTCTTCAGCCTCCTCCGTACCTGGCTGCCCACTTTCGCCATCTCCATCTTCTCTATTTTCAGCTTGTTGGTCATCGTCAGCCTCTTGATTGAGTGTTTCATGACCTTCCTCACTAATATTGTGTGAGTTTTGAGGATCGGTTTCCATTCTTACCAAATCTTGTTCTGCACTATTTGCATTAGAGGAATCTGCCCCTGACATGACTCGATTGGAATAAGATTCAAGTGTGGTTATAGGCTGACCTGAAAATAAAATAAATTTTAGCTAATTTTCGAATCAAAAGCTGCACTTGGATGAGAAAAAAGAGCTAATTCTAACTAGTACAGCGAATTCCATAACGAGTTCATCCCAGTAGTTGAACATTTTTAACTAAAACAGCGAATTCCTATAATACAAGGAAATTTAATAATGAAGATAAAAAAAATTTATACTTAACAAACCTGAAAATAATCAAGAGGGTTAAAAAAGAACTATCAAATTGTAGATGAGAAAGATCTCCATAAGAATAAGCAGTGAATTCAACATTCTGGTTTCAGAGAAATTCCATTCCATTATTGTGTGCGAACTAAGGGAAGAAAACCACTGAAGACCACATGAGTAGGCTTTGTTCTGAAAAGAATAAGCTTTAGTCACCAAAAAAATACAATCAAGATTGACTCTTCAAATGCTAAATGCATCAAATGAGACATCCGTAAGTATGTCTAGCTATATCTTTCCACTGAACTTAATTAATATGTTTAAGTACACAAGGATTGATAGAAATTTCCAATTGATAGCATGATAAGAAGTAAACAGCAGAAGCTAACATAACAGGTTTACCTAATAAAATAGATGAAGGAAGCAACTTTTCTTATGTGCATCCTTGTATTGAGTAAATTTACAAGTACTTCCATCAAGAAATGTATTAAAGAAATGTATTGAGTAAATTTCTTCAAGAAATGTATTAAAGAAAGAACTCTCACTTTAGCAAAAGTCTGAATAATCTAAAACATGTGATTGGGTTAAAATATTACGGATACCATCCCATTTTACTGGACCTCCATTTGAAGTACGCATTTCTCCAAGTCCAAGTTACGTGTATATACGTGCAGTAACTCTCACTCCAAGTCCCAGGACAAAACATTCTTGAAAGTCTTACTACTGTTAACTGCTCTGCTGGGCATGAAGCTGGAGAAATATTTCTGTTTCTACTATGCAATGCAGTAGTAATAACCGCTAAGTAGTAATATACTCCCGCCGTTCACCTTAAAACGTCCAAGAAACATGGAGTAATAAAGAACACAGCACTCCAGTGGAGCATGATTGGCTGGCAACTAGTAGCTATAAATAACACTAGCCAGTGGAACTAATGTGTATCTTCTAATGTTAGGAGATGTTATATGGTATCTTATTTCCTAATGACAGAAATATTACTTATTTGCTTCTCTTGCTTTGTCTTGGGTGTAAAATGTTTTGGGATTAATTTACTTTTCTTGGATAAATTTTAAAGCAGCTAAACTCTTTGGAGGAGTTGCTTTTGGGTTGAAAAAAGAATAACAATAGGCTGTTTTATTCATATATACAATTAAGTACTTGCAATTACTTAAAATGGGGTGGTTGACTCCCTCCAAAAAATAAGGACAAATTTGTTCATCAGTCACTTTAAGTCAGTTAAAAGACAAACAGAAATTGCATTTCATAGGGTAACACAGAGAGAATTGAAAGTATCTCTAATTACAATAGGCAATATGTATTTAAGCCTTACAAAAGAACATTTTTAACCTAACCATTTCTTCAAATCTTGAACTCCACAAATGGAAGGAAGCTTAACTTCCTATTGAAATCTAAATCTCTCTGTTTCTTGGGTTTTTTTTTTCCTATAATTTTTTTCGTTCTTGCCATTCATTGGCAATGAACTACATAATCCATCTTTGTACAAGGTTCATTACAGTTAAATACCAAAAGATATCAAAATGGTGGTCATAGATTGTGTATAAGCAAGTTGTGAGATGTAACGACCGCAATTTTCCATTTGTGCAGATTTGTCGCATACCTAACTTTTATTATCCCTCCAAACAAATTATTGTATCAAGTAGATTTCTTACAATCTCCTACTCAAGAAAAAAAAAATTCTTGATTTAAAACCCACCCCCAAATCGTTCTTTACTCCAGAGATCACAGAATTTAAGCCAAATTACTTAAGGGACCAGCCAAATTACTTAAGGATAACATCTTACCTGCTGCACGACTGCACCCTGCTTCAAGATCCAAGGATTCCAAGCTCCCGGTCACCGCAGTGCCGCACGCCTGCACCGACTGCACAATCCAAATGGGTGGAGTAGCAACAACGAAATGAAACGGCTGGAGCTGGACGGCTGGAGCTAGCAACCCAAATGGGTTTGATTTGAGATTGGAATTAGGGATTGAGGTGAGGAATGGGGATTAAGGAATAGGTAATTAGGGACAGCCGTGCACTGAGGTGAGGAAGAAGAAAGAAGACGGCGTTTTTGGACAGAGATTGAATTGAAGCTCTCGACGGCTTGACCTAATTAGAGTTTGATACTTTGATATGTGAATTTTTTTTTTTAGGAATTATGTGGAAAGACAAGAATACCCCAATTATATTTTGAATTTTAATAGGTAAAACATGTAATTAAGCTTACAACTATATATATCTAAGTAATTTTACAAATATAAAATTATATATATTTAAATATACCTTAAGCTCGAAAAGCTCGCGAACCTAAGAACATAGCATTTTTAGGCTCGAATTCGATTCGTTGAAATATTCGAATAGTTCGAGCTCGACTCGAGCTCGATTTTACCGAACTCGAGCCGATCTTTTTCTCGAACTGCTCGCGAACTATTCGCGAGCAGCTCGATTCGTTGACACCCCTATTCATGACCAACCCAACTAATCATCCTTGTGAAATTGCTCTTAAATTTCTCTCTTGCACAACTTGATTAAAAAAACATAGTTATAATACTATAAGTATTCTTTATTAGTATGCAAGGCTTAATTTTGAATCTTAAAGTGATGTATAAACTTGTTATTGAGATGATGAATTGACTATGATTTATATGTTAAATCTACTATTAATGTGACGGCCCCACCTTCCCCTAAAGCGAACCAAAGGGTCAGCGGACCGCCTGCCCAACTCTCGTCAGCACTATGGATTAAATCATTAATAAACCTTACCAAATGATCCAAAGAACTTTGGAAAAATGAATCATCGGAAAACGCAAAGGACCGCGGCCACGTCTAAAGTCGACCAAATTTTTTTCTTCCTCATTCACCCTTCACACTCGTTCGATTCCCTAATGGATACAAGAAAGTTCACATAACCATAGAAACGTACAATCTCAAACGAGTACTCTTGAAACACTTGATTAAACACTTATATACATATATACATCAGATTCTTCAACAAGTTAACTTGAAATACAAGCCATAATAACCATACATATACAAAGTACAATTAGTGTTTCGGTTACAGAGGAGCATGATCAAAAGATTGTCTATACTAGTTCGACTCTTTCTTCAAAAATCATAACTCTCAAAATATTGAATCCTGTAAGGAAAACAAAGATAGCGGGAATGGGGTGAGCTTACGCTCAATGAGGTACCACAAGTACAAGTAGTCAAGAATCATGGCATTTCACTTTAGAGGCACATATACACAACATATAAGGAAATGAACAAACATCTCAAATAGAAAGGATACAGGTGGCTCTCAGGAGTCAAATTCCCAGTGCAGTACTTGATCACAATTCGTTGACTTTCCGTCAACGTTCGGAGAAACAAACATGACTGTAGACCCCACTTTACATCAAATTCAGTTCACCAAACATACCCCCTTGCCGGACCCGAACTCTTCAACAGGAAACAGGAATGGTAATCCTCACCAGTTCAAGCAAAGATAACTTCAAAAGTTTTCTCCCAAAGGATGATTTTGATCACCGTCACGTCCTAACAATAACCAAAGTAAAACAATTATGATTTCCCCCATCCACGAACCCAGGAAACGAAACGCACAAATGAGGCTCAACTACAAGTTGTGTGCCTAGTCAAGTTAACTACTAGTGCGAAGAAAAAATAATGTGATGTTGGAGTAAAAAGGTAGCAATTGATCTTAAAAACATGAATAACCCTAAAATCTTTCGCTCAAGTAACAAGTACGTCCAACTAGCCCTCAAGTGAAAATTTGGGCAGCACGCCCTTTGTATTTAGCTATTTTTCAGCCATCCATGGTTTCATTATTTTCCTCAATTTAGTCCCAAAATCACACACAAGCAATGTTACCACCATAGCCTTTCAATTAGGCTCCAAAATCATCCAATTGCAACACAAGTCTAATACCACAACCGGAAATCAGGTTTTGACGGCAAAAGGCTAAATTACAGATTCGACATCTTATCACATTTTAGTCACAACTAGAGTTACGTTTATCGGATTGGTATGAACTTTATACCATTTCGAAACCAAGACAAAGGGTTACAACTTTCATGAAGACAACTTAACCTAGTTCACAGTTCATCTAGGTCAAATTTTCAGATTACAGAACCAGAATGTCCTTGTCAATATGGTTGTCAGCACTGAATTCAAATGACAATAACTTAGGCTACACAATTCCGATTGAGACGTTTTTAGATGCGTTGGAAAGCTGGAACATAGGGCTAAAATTTTTATGTTTTGGACAAAGGCTGATTGGATACGGATCAAGGTGACAAATGATGCCAAAATTGTGAAATCACAAAACTGTCCGCAAAATGAAGCTTTTGGCAGTCAGGAGTATTCCGGTCATTTCACATGATACAGTGCTCCGATTGAGGTGAAATTTTACAGAAAACTATATAACATCATTTCCTACAACTTTCATGTTTTAACCTAAGCCCAATTCGGCCTCTAGCATGAACGAATGAAGCTGGTCAGAAGCAGGGCATGTTCCTCTCTAAAGCTGGAATTTTTGTAAGCAACCAAAACTAACATATAAAAGCTTCAATTTTACACATAACAAAGCTATTAAACCATGGCCAATCAGTAAGCATCACATGAGGGCGGAAAATTCACTATAAAACTGAAAATTTCATAATACTACTTCAAACTATGAAATATTCTCACAAAACTACATCTTTAACAACTCTAATCCACTAATTTGCAATCATTAAGAGCAAAAAGGGTTTCTTAGACAAGTTACCTTAGAACCATTAGAAAGATTGTA